CTGAGTGAATGTGTGTGAAAGGGTGAATCTGGCACGTAGTGTAAAAGCGCTTTGAGTGGTCGGAAAACTAGAAAGGCGCTATACAAGTACAGGTCCATTTACCATTTACCATTCTCATGTCGTCAAATACAGACGCGTGTGGTGTTGAGTTAGTTGTAATTTGCAATGCTAGATGCCACTAAATCCAACACACAGGTCCTTCAAGGGAGCAGCATGATCCATGACCCACCTTATTGCTGACAGCCAGCCAGTGTTCGCCCCAAGTCTCTGCATTGTTGATGATGTTGTTGTGAAACAAAACCGCTATTAGAACATTTCCATAAAGCCAGCAGAACTTAGGTAATAGCCCACCATTAATTAGCTTAACAAGCCAGTTGGTAACAGAGCAACTGCCCTGTCTGAGACACCAGTGGCAATGAAAACTACTGCACAGACAGAGAGGTAATTATATATATAAACATAAATAGTATCACAAATTGGGTTTGATTTAATTAAATCTCAAAATATACTTCACATACTTGAATCACTTTACCTTACATTTTCTCATTTTGGAATCTATACTATTTCCACACAGCCAGTTTATCTATTTTGTAGGCCAGCCGAGCCTTCAGTCATGGTGACAGGATTAGGATTTTTTGAATGACTGGAAAGATGTGGGCTCCCCCTTGTTCAAAATAAATCAGGAAATCAATACAGGACTGTATGCTGGAAAAAGCTTTTTCATGTCAAACCATGTGAACGATTCACGATTATCCAAATTCACAAATATCACGATAGTGGAAATTCACCACTATAAATGTATCAGGTGTTTTATCACGATACTCGATAATATTGTATATCATCCCATCCCTAATTATGACTACACTGACATGTGGATTCTTGGTCTCCTGATGAGGTAAAAACTTTGCCAGGTGTATTAGCGTCCTCAGTGATGAGCTCCATATTTGCACACTGTACATAATGAAAGCAGTAATTAGTCCTCATGCTTGTGTGAGCACATTGACCTTGTGAAAAGGTGCTTATGTGTCCCCGTCTTTAATTTGCCAATCAGTGCAGAGGACAGTCAAGACCAGCCTTCCGCCCACACAGCCAAATAACAGAGGGAGAGTGGACAAAGAGGACTTTCAGTCCTGTAATGTACTGTGTGTGCCTGCGTGCGTGTCAATGTGTCCACTATGGGAGGACGCAAACACTAAAACAAAGACTGTACTTGTCTTTCTGCACAATGTTACTGAAATGATTCACAAGTCGCAGTGACTGTAAAGGACTCTCTCTGCAGAGGAGAAAAGTCTGCCTACTGTAAAGAGCATTGGTGCTTTTTTCCATAGCTCTACTACTCATTTGTGCTGTCATTCATTAAGAGGCAATGTATGCTGTTGACTATCTGGACTTGTTTTGTAGCCTGGTGGGTGGATAACAAGTTAAAGACATTCTAGCAACGGCTGCGAAAGTACACACATTCTTTACTCAAGTAGAAATACAGATACTCCAGTTCTCAACTGGAGAAGTACTCAAAGATACAGATATTTGTGTAAAATGTTGGTGGTTTTACACAAAAAAATGAGAGTATTTCAAATGGGATATTTTTCTTTAGGAAGGTAATAAAATGATGTAAATGTTAATTTGATGACATCTTTTTTTTCAAATGCAGCATAATCAAACACTTTGGTCAGTACATACATGCAGAGACAGGCTGGATGTTATTTTTGCAGGAGGTTATTGACACTTAATGGCAAACAGAGGATTACCTTAGGCTGGTTGCAGAGGTATCTGCACAGCTCGCCAATATACTGGAAAACAGTCACATCATGTTTTCTACAGTCATTCCAGAACTGGGACGCTGAGAACTTCTTCTTCAAGATGCAGGTTGCACCTGTGATAGGAAAGACAACAATGTATTAAAGGATACAATTATCTTAATCTGCTGTTTTCAATACTTCAACTCACACACCAAAAAGACTGCTAAACAACAACTCCATGATAATATATTAATAAATATATAATTAATATAATTTCTCCTTATGTTTTGTACATATTTATTCAAAAATAGCTTATATGTCACACACTGTACACGCCCCCAAAAAGAAAACTGACAAGATATGCACTGCGCAAAATGTCCTTTAAATCAAACTCCCTGGCTCTGGTTTTGGCAAGTTTTAACTTGAAAATTATCTCTCTCTGCTGTTGCAACACTGGCAGGTAGCATCATGAACAACAGCAGGGCAGTGCTAATGTCACTTAATGTTGATATGACTGAATGGGGGTTCACAATAACCATTTTTGCCAGTTAGAAGACCCAGATGGTGCCACCGGGAGCTCTGACGGTGATGATGTTGATGCAGCTAGTGCACGCTTTAGCCACATCCTTGCTACAGCTACTGGGACCATGTATAAGAGGAGTTATCACTGGTGGGTTATTATATTTATAAACCTTACAGTTTTGGTAGCCCGGCAAACTTGCGCCCTTGTATTATATATTGTATATAGCCCCATCAAGGCTAAATGTGTACAAAATGTGATACAGTTCAACATCTCAAACTCTCAGGGCACCGGTCTCAAGGTTTGTTAGCACAAGCTGTTGGGAGGACGTTGCACTGTCAACATTGGTAGCAGTTGGAACAAATGCAGAAAGCTAAGATAAATCAATAGAATAGCTGATAAGAAGCTGCTGCTGATAAGAAGCTGCTGCTTTTCCAAAACTATTACATAACTAACATAATACAAGGTCATGAAATACTTAGAGTATGAGAAATGGAACACAGCAACAATGACCTAAAACAATAATAACATTCTCTATAATAGTCCCTGGTGTCCACTTCTGAAGCCTCTAATTAAGCTGCTAGTTGAAGTGAAACAGCGGGTCCTCAAAGGGGTCACATAGTTTGGCAGTTGGACTGTGGTCAGTGTCTGCAGTCCTGAATACCAGTTCACCTAGAGAATTGCTTCTCTGTTTCCAACATGGAACTCAGCTCATATGTTGGGTAAAAACACTTGGCTGGGCACAGGTCTTCATATCATGATGTCACCCTAAAACAGACCATTTAAGCTGCAGTAGGTAAGTATGGTAAGTTTTTGTCATATTTTCTGAAACTTTGACTATATCCTGACAGTAGTACATGAGACAGATAATCAGTGAACAAATCAGGTTCCTCTGGCTC